GAGGAACATAAACATCTTGAACGCATTGATTCATTGATATTTAAACATTGTAAAAAGTCATTATCACACTCGGGCTCTTCTGTAATACTATCATGGCTAAATAATACCAGTTACATATATATTTTGACATTATTAGGTGATGCTGTGGTCACAAGCTGAACAGCAATGTTGTGAGCTCATGCTGCGTGCGTCAGCCTTGGTTGCTCACTCAGAACTCAGGCGTTTACACCCAGGAATGTTGCTCGCGATTTTTTTTTAATGGCGTCTGTTTACAAGAGCCCTGAGGAAGCTGATGTGAACCCTATGTAGGCGCGGGAGTTATGAATCATACGCTATACCTATAAGATCCCTGAGGCACCTTTCATACCACCCGTCGAGAGCCGGGTGGTGCGCAAGGTGCGTTGCAGAGTGCAGTGGTCCATCCATTCCACTCATTTACCATGTTGAGACTGAAAAAGTTCAAGGTAAGTTTAAAGGTCCCGGCAGTACAGTCGGGTTCGTTCTCAATGCACAATTGAGAATTCCTGGTTCTAATCCCGGGCGGGACAGAAATGGTTGCGCACACTTCCTTTCACGTAATGACTCTGTTCACCTAGCAGTGAGTAGGTACTTAGGAGTTAGTCAGCTTGTTGTGGGGTTGCATTCTGGGTGGGGTCAGTAATTCGACCTGGAATGGGGGGTTGGACCTCGATAAAAGCCAAATGTGTATGAATGCACTCTGGCTTCATGCGATATATATTAGTCTAGGGCATTAATCAATGGAGTTCAGCCTACCAGGGACAACGAGCCAGAACCTGGCCCCCTCAGAGAGGTACAGGGAGCAATGGCCTCTGGAAAAAAAACCCTTGTGGTTGGAAATATTAATTATCTGCCATTGACAGGGGTTAGGCACCCAGAAAGGTAGGCATAACAAAGCACACCCCACGTGGTAAGAAAATTGAACTGAAGACCGAACAGGGAGGCAGAACTCCCCCAATTTTCAAGGAAACAAGCAAATGTCATCATTGCTGCCTGCCGCTTGTCCGTATAGCCCTCCCCTTCCCGGGAGGGGGAGGGGAGACCCCTGGACCCACTGTGCTGGCTACTCAACCCCTGCTTGTTGGCAAATGCGATCTGGGGCAGTCGTCAACTCTGGCCTCGATTTCTTGGCAGTGTTTTACCTTAGTGGTGATTCCTGCTGTGTTGTGGTGGTGGTGGCCAGGTATACCATCAGTGTACTGGAGCGGCATGCTCTTAGGGCTGACATCCCTAACCGCCTTGTAAGTACTACCCCTGGGTGCTAGAGGTTCCCTTCCATAGTGCCTTCGGAACTCCCCTTCTATAAGAGTTCTTGCTGCTCGGCATTTACCCCACGCTTGGGGCTAGCTGGGGTTTCATGGCCTTTGTTTGGCCTTGGGAAGGAAGTGGTATTGTTGTTAGTTGGGTGTCAAGGTGTTGCGCAGCTTGCCCACTCTAAATGCCCTGGGCCAATAGGCCCTCTGCAGTTACCTTATTATTTTCTTACCTATGGAGCAGCCGGTTCTTGTTTCCTCTGGGGATGTTGTAGTTTTGCAGGGTTTTTCTTTTATTTTGTTTTCTTTACCTGGTGGGGGGTCTGTTTCTGCCTTGTGGTCCACTTATAATATTTTGGTGCCCCTCTGCTAGGCCCCCCGTGACTGTACGCATCACAGGGGTTTCAGTGTTTTAGCCTATCCCCCCTTTGTTAGCTCTTTGGTTAACCGGTTTTGCAACACCTTGCCCGGGCTTCCTGTAGCAGTCAGCCTACGGGCCCTGGAAAACCCTGTCGGGACTCAGTGGACTGATGGATGCGTCTTCCGGGTTCCAGCTCGTATTGTGTGAGATTGTAGGCTGCTCTGTGCCCTTGTCTCAGGGTGATGGTCACCAATTTTGCCCCCATCATGTGGCCTGTTGAGTCAATGACACCTTTGACCCGGAGTCTTGCGAGATGTGTTCTCTGCTCGTGCTCCAATTTACCCATTCTGTAGACATTGAGGTTCGGTTATCAGAGGCATCCGCGTTGCATGCTCGGTTTATGTTGCTGCAAAGCACTAGGTTGGTTGCCCACCTGGATGCCCGCTCTTGTTGCGTACTTCCTGCGAGACCCGGATTCTTCCTCTGATGGATCTGTCCTCATTTTAATTCGGTTCTTCTCCATACTGGGGTGTTTTGGAGGTTCTGGAGTGTTCCTAACTGGCAGATTGCCCATTCTTTTCATTGGGGGCGTGGCATGGGTTTTGTCGGACCTGCACTCACGAATGGTGGGAGGCTGCTACCGTTCTGCAGGCTTCGGAGGGGGGTGGGGGGGAGTTTGAGCACCTTAACGCGTGCTTGTTCGCCCCTGTGCTTTCTCGGGATATTGGCCTTGTGCAGCTGCATGTGCAGGTTTCCATCTTTTTGGCATGTTTGATAGCTGAGGGCTCTTGTGCCCAAGGGCATTTGGCTTCGGTCTCGTGCTTCTTTTCCCTTCTTGAGGCGATGAATGCCGGGCTTTCGCCTGGTGTGTTGGTCTTGGCAGCTAGGGCGTCGGCTGCACTGTTGAAGCTGTTTGCGCCGATTCTCAAGGAAGTGTTCTTTGCTTCTTGTCTCGCGTACCGGCAGGCTGTACTCGCTCTCTCTTTGGAATCCGCTTGGGCTCTGGCTTTTAGGTTTTCATCGCCTTTTGTCCATTGCTATTTGTGGAGACTGCTGTCACACAGTTTCTGCAGGTGGCTTAGTTTAGTTGTTGTCCTATGGCAGACTTGTTGCTTCTCCGGGGTGGCCGTTTGCTCATGCTTGGTCCCCCGATTCATGAGCATTTCGTGTCGTGTCCAATGCCTGTGGTGGCATTGGGCGGCTCCTCCTTCGGGGGGTTCGGGGCTGATGGGGTAGACTTCTTTCCCTGTGCTCTATCGGGTCGACTTGGAGTAGGTGTGCTTGGGCGTTGTCAAAACGACCCCATCCCTCAGGTGGGTTTCCCGCCTGTTTCCAGTGCCGAAATGGGACTGTATAAATCTGCAATTCATTCTGGAATTGTCCCATCTGAACCCCTGGATTCCTTGCCCCTATTTTTCAGGGTCTTGCACCTTGGACTTGGTGGCACGTGCGTTGTCTGCCTTGTTGAAGCTGTTTGTGCCAATCCTGCGGGATGCAGTGTTGCTGTTTTATATCTCCCGGCTCGCGTATTGGCAGGCAGTGTTTGCTTCTTCCTTGGAATCTGCTTGGGCCCTGGCTCTTAGATTGTCTTCGCCTCTTTGTTCCTTGCTGTTTGCCGATTCTGCGGTGGGGCAGTATCTGCAGGCGGCTTCTGCTAGCTGTCGTCCGATGTCCGACTTGTTGGTTTCCCTGGGGTCCTGGGGAGGGGGAGGCTTCCTCCCCACCCCCCCATTGTGTTTTTGACATGCAGCCTCAGAACTGGGGTTTTGGGTAGCCGGTGCGAGGGGTCTTGGGTTCCCTCTTTCCCCTCCCAGGGAGAGGGGAGCTGTGCAGACGGCGACGTGGTGACGTCATGCTCTTCTGCTCGTTTTTGTTTGGGGAGTTCTGTCCACTAGTTCGGTTTTCAGTAGCAATTTCTTAACCAGAATAGGGGTTTGTTTTGGGATGCTTACCTTTTTGGGAGCCTGACGTATGTTGATGGCAGACATAGAATGCTTCCAACCACACGGGGGTTTCTATAGGCCATTGCTCCTCATGCCTCTCTGAGGGGGCCAGGTTTTGGCTCATGGTCCCTGGTAGGCCTAAGAACTGCACTCACACTGACTGATGCCAAAGTCTAATATTAGCAAGAGCCTGAATTGCTCTGGGGAAGCCTCCGGGTCTCGCCCAGAAAATGGCGTTTCATTACATTAAATGCTGGTTTTTTAGTTTAATTTAATTCTAGGGGTTTCACGTCTAGCTCCTAATTTACGATCAGATTCTCTGTGTAGTTATTGAAATTGACATTAATTTGATATGTGGATTGGGTGTTCAGAGTCGGACTAAGCTTCAACTTTCTTTCTTTTTTTTTTTGGTGGGGGCTCCTATTGTAAACAAATTTAGCTCTTTTTGTTTTTAAGATTTTCAGTTAGCAAGACTACATTACTTCTTGGTGTTGCTAGAGCTTCTGTGGTGTGGACAAATGGTCCACGGGACTAGTACAGTAAACCTGGATAGATGCATCTGTAAGTACAGTAGTGATAACTGGATAAAATGTGGGGCAGTGGATAAGAAGTACACACACACACAGTGCTCCAACCCATTTTATATAGTAGAGGGCACAGCCGCAGTAGAAAACAAGGAAGGTGCTACCGTGGACGAGAGAAAAACAGAAAGAGAGAAAAAAGTGCAGCAAAAAATATCCCATATAGAACATTGTCTTTGGAAGAAGTAAAAGGTTTTGTGACTTGCATCCATGATGATACCTGATGGGTAGGTTGTCACAGTAGGTTTTGATCAATTTCCTTCATCCCAATGGCCCATCCTCATGATGTGTGTGTGTATATGAGAGGAATTATCCCCCAACCACTTGGACTGGATGGTAGAGCCAGATATAGGAGGCCTAGGAGCTCCAGGTTTGTCCCAGCCTTCCAAGCCAGTTCTGTTGCTGATGTAGATACCAATGGTTGTCCTCTTTGGGGTTGCTAGGTCATCAACTAGCTGTGCAAGGGTCCTGCTGCTGCTTCTCAGCAAAGTGCAGGTCACTTTGTTTTAGGGGGCAAAGGGGGGGGGGGGCATTTTAATTAGCTTCACGAGTGTGTTTTGTGTTTGGTTTGTGTTGTGTGGACCTGGCTCGTAAGGCATTTGAATTTGCATGTGCTTAGGGCCACCTTCCCTGTGTACGCCCTACTGCTGCAGCTGCATTGACAGTTCTTTTCTTTGATGTGTTTGGGAGGTCGCTTTTTTGTGGCTGGACCACTGGGATGAGTGCCTTACCTAAGGTGTGTGAGGGGCCTTTGGCCCCTCTGTCTAGATAGACCCTTGGTTGGGGGTAAACATTGGGCTGGTTGGGGCACACTTGGGGTTCACACTCTCATTTTACATGACAGGCCAAAGTCTGCTTTCACAGCTGTGTTAACTAGGCTGTGTCGGTCTACTTACATAATTCCTGGCAAGCAACCTCAGTTCTTGGGTGTCCTGTTTGGTCAGTTCTTTAGGCCCACACTAAGACCCACAGGGTTTCAGTGTGGCCTTTGGATGTCGACTCTGACTATGATCTCGCCTTGTTCAAGTTTGAGGGGTTGTTTGTCATCTGTGCCAAGGGGCTGCAATCATTCTTTCTGCCTTTGTCATACTGCCACTTGGCTTGGTGACACATACAACCCTGAATCTTGTGGGGTTTCTTTCCACCATGTGGCTATTCTTTCTGATCCTCCAAATAAACACTAGAGCTGGATTCACAAAGCAGTTATGCAAGTACAGGTTCTTAAGAAACTTTCTTACCATTGACGTGGCGGTTACGTCGCGATTCACAAAGCCATTTACGAATGCTAATCTTACTAAGAACACTGCCTCGTGCTATAACACCTCCAGACCAGTTGTAGCTTCACGTAAACCTTACCGTGAGGTTACCTTAAGGTGCTTCAGGGGCTCAGCATCCCCGCGGCCCGGTCGTCAACCAGGCCTCCTGGTTGCTGGACTGATCAACCAGGCTGTTGGACGAGGCTGCTTGCAGCCAGACGTACGAATCACAGCCTGGTTGATCTGGTATCCTTTGGAGGTGCTTATCCAGTTCTCTCTTGAACACTGTGAGGGGTCGGCCACTTATGCCAACCCCTCACAGTGTTCAAGAGAGAACTGGATGAGCACCTCCAAAGGATACCTGATAAGAACCATATGAACCATATGATAAGAACCATATACAAGTCTCTTCTCAACTTTTAAGCGTAGGCAACTGAGAACTTAAAATATAGTAGCTTTGTCAGCATGTGACTGTCGGATCTGTTCTGCTAGCAATATATGCTGTGTGCGTGTGTGCATAACTCACATTAACACTTTGAGCTGCCTGGTGTGTGTGCCCCAGCCCTTCCCAAGGTGCGCCTAGCGTTGCCCTTGAGCACACACCCACACTATACTCCTACTCTTTTGTGTATAAAGAGTGTATTCTCTTTTCAGTTGTTTTATGTCAATTGTCATGTTACATCGTTCATTTTGGTATCATATTGTTCACAATAGAAATCTCTAAAGGGATATATGTATACAAGGTCAAAAAGCTCGGCGTGCCACCCGCAGAAAACCCGAAAATCGGCCGAGCGTTACCAGTGAAGGGAGCACCCATCTGCACACCCACAACACCTGCACAAAACTGTGTAAATTAAAATGTGGGTAAAATGTGGGTTTTTTGCTTCAAGGAGGGATGGGTTTTCTAAACTGCCTTTCCCCTCCTTGCTCGAGTTTGATTTATCTTTGGCTCTCCCCAGGATTCATTTCCACATGCCATTGCATTGGTCCTTCCAGAGGCTTCCTTTCTCAAGGTCCGCCCTACAGTGGCTCAGGTGGATCTTTTTAAGTACCTCCTGCATGACCTGGATCTTGCCTCCCTTATGTTTTTGTTTTTGGGTCTTCCTTGCTGTACTGGCTCAGCTGTGAGGTTCTGGGGTCTTCCTGGCTGGCTGACAATCGACTTTTACCTGTGGGATTTGCGCAGCTAACATTATACCCACATGCTTGAATGGCATGAGATTTCAAATGCATTTCAGGTGTTGAGAGAGAATATTAGTCTCTCAGACTTGAACACCCGTGGATGCAGATCACTGTGCAATATCGATTGCGCTTATTGCAAGTTGGGGTACCCTTGGTGTTGGGGGTCCCTGGATAGGTAATCTTATTTGCAATTCAGATGGAGTACGAGTGAAGATTTTTCTTTGCCTATAGAAGGAATGCTGTTCTCATTCCAGCTTGCATATTTTTGTTTTCTTATGTGACTTGCACATATTTCTAGTGCTACTTTGCCTGTTTCCTCAAAGCACTGGTTTAGGTTTGCATTATGGAGCTGTTTTTCCCAGCATATTTCTGTGAGGTCTTGGTTAATTGGTTCCCAGTTAATTGATTTGTTATTAAATTGAACTAGCTGAATTCTCCTCTTGGATTTGAAACTGGTTGCACAGGTCTATTTCCCATACTTGTCTGAATTTTGATTAGGATGCGATATGAGTAACATGTATTTGTAATCAGTGTTTCTAACCAGTTCATCATTGCTAGTAAAAATAAGGTGTAGGGCATTATCTAGTGGGTTTTATTATTTGCTGGTTTAAGGCAAAGCTTTCACACATCTGCAAGAGGTTATCAGTATGTGACTTCACTTAAACTGCTTCCATGGATTCTCTTTAACTGTATTTGCAGCATCTTCCATTTTAGGTGTCGAAAGTTGAAGTCACCACGCAAGATGATGATTGGGGCAAGGTTTGCGAGGTTTTCTTAGCAGTATTCTATTTTTGTAAGTTGATCCTTAAACTGCTGAGGATTTTCATCTGGTGATTTATATACCAGGACAATCACCACATATAGAATTTCTATTTTGAGGATCAGCACTTCCACCATAACATTTGTAGTGTTTAGCAGCTTTGAGCAGATGAGTATATGTGTGATGTACAGGCTAACTCCACCCAGTAGCCATTCTATCACATCTGAAAAGATTGAATTCTGGTATCCATATTGTAATATACTATTGTAATAGTCTCTCTTATGATTTTCAGATAAAGCTGCAGACATTGCATTTGCCTAATTTATGAGGCCAATAATGAAGTGGACTTTGTTTAGCATGTTTTGATTCCTTGTATGTTGGCAAATATGAAAGATGTTATCGTATTTGTGGAAGTGCTGGGTATTTTGTTTGGTGTTAATCTCTGTAGTTCTAGTTGGGGTGCCACAGTATCTGTGACCTGTTTAGCATTTGGCAAAGTTGGTGGTAGAGTTTTGACATTTCTCGCCATTCTTTTTCTTTCTTTTACTAAAATATCTCCGTGGTATGTATAGGTGTTCATAATGGCATTCTTTTGATTTTGTTGGTTCCTTGGATGCTTGGATGCTTGGTAGTCTCTGTTACAACGATCCTTCTTGTTTAGTGAATTTCTACAGTTTTGAGTAAAAAACTTTGCAACTATCATAGCAACATGTTTCTGTATTTAGGATTTTTTTGCAATTTTGTGGGTGATTATATTTGCATGTTCCATTAGTTCTTCATGACGGCCCATATTTACTCGCCCCATGTCGTCCATGATATTGGCATGTTCCAATTGTTTATTTTCTTTTTGATTACTGTATCTTGGTTTATCTCTATTACATTTTGTGTTGGCTCTTTGCTGATAGATTTAGGTGACAACCTTAACTGATTTGTGTTGTTGCTCAGTCACTTCCTTTTGAATTAGATTTATTTGTTCATCTGGATCTGTGCTCACGCTTTGTTCATTAGTGCCCTCAAACATCAGAACTGCCTTTAGGAACTTGTGTAAGGAATCATTCAGAACCTTGTATACCACTTATGTCAGACCAATACTGGATTATGCAGCTCCAACCTGGAGTCCATACCTAGTTAAACACAAGACAAATTTAGAGAGGATTCAGAGGTATGCCACTAGACTACTTCCGGAACTGAGAGGTATGAGTTATGAGGAAAGGCTATGGGAGCAAAACCTCACGTCCCTGGAAGACAGAAGAGTAAGGGGAGACATGATCACGACAAAAAATTCTCAGAGGAATTGACAGTGCAGACAAAGACAAATTCTTCAGCATGGTGGAACACGAACAAGAGGACACAGGTGAAAATCTAGTACCCAAATGAGCCACAGAGACATTAAAAAGATTTTTTTCAGTGTTAGAGAAGTTGACAAATGGAATGCATTAAACAGTGATGTGGTGGAGACAGACTCCATACACTGTTTCAGATGTAGATTTGATAGAGCCCAATAGGCTCAAGAATCTGTACACCTGCTGAGGACCACATAAAGAACGTTGTGCGAGGAGCCTGTGCTACGCTTTCTAACTTCAGAATTGCTTTTAAATACATGGATGGCGAAATACTAAAGAAATTGTTCACGTCTTTTGTTAGGCCAAAGCTAAAATATGTAGCAGTTGTGTGGTGCCCATATCTTAAGAAGCACATCAACAAACTGGAAAAGGTGCAAAGACATCCTACTAAATAGCTCCCAGAACTGAAGGGCAAGAGCTATGAGGAGAGGTTAGTGGTATTAAATATGCCAAAACTAGAAGACAGAAGAAAGAGGTGATATGATCACTATGTACAAGATAGTAACAGGAATCAATAAAATTGATAGGGAAGACTTCCTGAGACCTGGAACTTCGAGAACAATAGGTCATAGATTTAAACTAACTAAACAAAGCTGCCAAAGAAATATTAGAAAATTCACTTTTACAAACAGAGTGGTAGACGTTTGGAACAAGTTAGGTGAGCAGGTAGTAGAGGCCAAAACCGTCAGTACTTTCAAAGCGTTATACAACAAAGAGTGCTGGGAAGATGGGACACCACGAGCGTAGCTCTCATCCTGTAACTGCACTTAGGTAATTACCAGTTGATTGACAGTTGAGAGGCAGAGCCAAAGCTCAACTCCTGCAAGCACAACTAGACAAGTACAACTAGGTGAGTGCACTGTATTTTCATTTTACAGTTGGCTGTCTATCCACATACCTGCGTGTCCTTTACTTTTCATTTGCATTTCTCCAAAATTTCTGAGCATGCAATAAGAAGGGAATTCCTAGCCTCTGCATAAGAAATAATATTTAGGAATTTTAATATGTTCAGGAAAAGGCAATTATCATCACAAATCCAGTACTGTATATATATATATTGAGTTATTAGCCATTCTTTGTTTTCTTAATGAGTCCACCCTCCAGCTGCTTTTAGTGTGTGCAACTGCAGAACACAACTGACAGTCTATGTAAATTGGGTACGCTACACAGTTGTCCCATTCCACACATGACGGGCTATAGCCATAGTTGTTTATTTCAACTGAACTACCTAGATATTATTCCACAGTGTAGGTGGGTACCATTTGTGGTTGGGTACTGTGTGTGAGGTTGTTTAGGGGTCTGACTTTTGGACGAGTGTTGCTCCCTGGTGTGTTGGCATTAACGATTTTGTTTAATTTAATTTGTTGTGTTATATTCTGGCTTGGTGTTTTGTTTTGTGTTCCTAGTGTTAGTTGGTAGATAATGACTAGCTTTTGTATGTAACACTAATACTGTACCTTTGTGATATTTCATTTATTGAAAACACTAGAGTAGGCTGACAGCAATAGCAGGACCTCGTGACACTACCGGTCTTGCACACTACACTTGCTCACACCACCGAGAGTTTTATTTTGTTATGTATTCAAGTTACAATAATGTTTAACATTCGATGGTCAACTGGAATTATGTAAATGGAAAAATATTATCTATTCACTGATGTTACTGTTCAAATGACAAGAAAAAAATGATTGAGATGTATAGTTGCCAATTTTATGGCACTGGGGAATGGTTCTGGGTGTTACAATGTTTTTCTTACTCTGTTTTTAAAATTAAATATGAATTTCTTCAAATTTCATTTCACTCAATATTGTACATCTTACATAAATCCTTTCCTAACAACAAACCTTCCCAATCGAATCCAGTAACGAACTAAAATTCCCAGAATGAATATATGATGTACATGTGGAGATATTGGAAGGTGAGGTCCCCAATCCGCACAATAACATGGATCCAGTGAAGAGTAAAGGTGCCATAAGCACAATTGGAGTATATTTTTTCACCATCTGAGCCCATGACTTCAGTCTTCTAGCAAATTTAAGAAATATTATCAAGACAAATGTTGAAATTTTCAAGAGGGAATTAGAAAGGTTGTGGAGTAAGACCCAGATGAGCTGGGTTATGACAGACATATGGGCCTGCAGGCTGATGCCATCAAAAGTCTTATGGATCAAGTTACCACCATAAAAAAAGCCTGGCCCTCTTCATTGGCTATGATCAATACATGTCTAGTAAATCCTGTTTTTCCTATAAGATCCTTTATTAAAATGCTACATGGATTCCTTCAACGTGAGGTGTCTGGGACTGCATCTCCTTTGCAAAAGTGAGAATGGAATGTATTCTTCACCAAAGAGCTAAATAGTAATGACAGCTGTAAGAAACCTGGGGAGAGGTTAGGGGAATGAAAAGGATAGCGTGTATATTTTTTTTTGTTTACTTTTCCCAGTCTAGCCACTCATAATAACACAGGTTATTTTCTGCAGGGAGCCACCAGAGAACCAACGAATCACCCATGACTTGATAACAGAGCTTCGTAAATTAGTCAAAAAGCACAGCGAGCTGGGATTACTACCAATGGAGTGCAACTACCTCAACAGAAATGCATTTATGGCTGCTGCAGGTGGTCAGGTATGTACTAGTGATGAATGAGGACAGTGTAACCTGAAGTGAGAACACTTGCTGGGCTGTCCAGCTGTAAAACATACTCCTTGAAGCACCACTGGAAAATTGTCTGGGAATTCTTCATACTTGTTTGACAAGCACTTAACTACCTTCTTACACTGGAAAAACATGAAGTGTGTATGTGTGTGTGTGTGTGTACAAAGAATCAGAACTGCTCCCAGCAAACACACCCAAGTAAGAAAATACACCAGAAAATATATGAAACTATTGAATAGTACAAGTGTCCAAGTATCATTTATAAGTGATGATGATTATCATGAGTGGAGAAAATGGAAGAGCCTCAGTTGGACAAATGGGTTGCACTTGTACTTTACCCACTGCAGGTCTTGCTGAGGAAAGCCAGTAAGAAGGGTCTTGCACTTTGTAAATATTAATTTTAATTAGATTTTACTCCATGTCAAATATTTAAAGACTGTGCAACTTGCTAACTTAATTTTGCTTACTAAATATGAATATTTTACATTATCTAGTAAACTTTCATAAGTACAGTACTGTATAGCATAAAAAGGTATTCCTGTTAGTAGGTTGGCTTTAGTTGCTTATAGGAGCACTTTAGTGGATATGTTATTGTGAAGTAGACCTTCCCACATTGATGGACCTGTCCTGTTTGGCTACTCTCCCATGTGTGCCACTTAGTACAGTAGTCTGCTCTCTCTAAATCATACTATTTTTTAATAACTAAAGTTTTTCCTTTTGTGGCAGAATGCCAATTTGTTTTTTCAATCATGCTTTCTCTTGGCTTGTTAAGGGGGCTTATTACGGGTTTCGTAAAAATTGTTCAATTTGTTTATAAATTTATTTATGAAATGGTTATAGAAAGAGCTGCAACTGGTCCAAGTTTCAGCATCACACCCTAAACAGAAAAGGAGAAAAAAAATACACAACGTATTATGCAACGAATTTTCAACATTTTCAAATAATTTCAGGGAACACATGTGTCAACTAAAATCATTTCTATAACACTCAGATATTAAATTAGCACATAATAAAGGATTGTATCTATAAGTTTTATCAAAAAAGTGTTTAGTGCAATAATATAATTATTCAAAGTTACCCTTCCAAAAATATGCAATATATGATGTTTATAAATTTTTATAAAATCAACAAATGGACTTTGGACTAAAATGTCTCGATAGGTTTGTAGAAGCACAAACGCTACATATAAGGTGTAATTTGCATGTAAATTGATTAATAAATGAAAGCTCTGAAGCACTTTGAAGGTGTAAATTACTTTCCAGAGTAAAATAAAGATCCAAGTTCGGCCACCTGTAGCTGAGCTTGACTTCGACAGATTTCGTTCATAATTGGCACCCTTGCAGATAGGCATCCATTGAGCAAGGTGTGCAAGTTTCATGCAAATCCCTTGATAACAAACGAAAAAAAAAATTGGCCAAAGAAAAAAAAAAAAAAAAGAAAAAAAAAAAAAAATTTACATATAAATATATTGCACATACATATTACAATTATTACAAGAGTTTGTGCTTCTGCAGCACATAGTAGACATTTTAGTTGACACATGTGTTCCCTGAGATTATTTGAGAATGTTGAACATTCGTTGCATAATACGTTGTGTATTTTTTTCTCCTTTTCTGTTTAGGGTGTGATGGTGAAACTTGGACCAGTTGCAGCCCTTTCTATAACCATTTCATAAAAAAAATTATAAGGAAATTGAAGAACTTTTAATTTATGGGTATATGCCCCTTTAACCCCTTAACTGCGTTGCCTCCAAATGTGACACCCCCGCAGTGCGCAGGAAATAAATTCTCTGGAAAAAATTCTTTTTTCTTTTTGAAGTGTCAAAAACCCTTCCCTCAGTATGGGTATGCAAAAAAAAAGTCGAAATTGTACTTACTTTGGCTGCTATGGGGTCCGGAAGTTGGGGCGTGACGTCATCATTCCCCGTGCGCCCGTGCCGTAAGCTCTCGGGGGCGGTGGGGCGCTCGGGGCGGGGCGCGCGAGTTGCCGCGAATATATTTTCGTTCATTTTTTGCGCACCTTTCCAAATACATTTTCATTGTTTTTATGTGCCAATCCAATGTATAATGAACACGTACACTATAATATCGCAGTACAACATCCGTACTGTCCGTAGACACTGTGTTACGTGCATGAAACTTGTGTACACATATGCAGCACATATTTACTATGTATCATGCTAATTTGTGTATATATACAATCTATTTACACACTATACACTGTCACACACTATATACATTCACCATCAACACATTCAGAACACCGCGTAGCAGCTGCTTCGTATGGGCCAATAGCAGCTGCCTCGTATGGGCCAATATCAGCTGCCTCGTATGGGCCAATAGCAGCTGCCTCGTATGGGCCAATAGCAGCTGCCTCGTATGGGCCAATAGCAGCTGCCTCGTATGGGCCAATATCAGCTGCCTCGTATAGGCCAATAGCAGCTGCCCCGCATGGGCCAATAGCAGCTGCCCCGCATGGGCCAATAGCAGCTGCCCCGCATGGGCCAATAGCAGCTGCCCCGCATGGGCCAATAGCAGCTGCCCCGCATGGGCCAATAGCAGCTGCCCCGCATGGGCCAATAGCAGCTGCCCCGCATGGGCCAATAGCAGCTGCCCCGCATGGGCCAATAGCAGCTGCCCCGCATGGGCCAATAGCAGCTGCCCCGCATGGGCCAATAGCAGCTGCCCCGCATGGGCCAATAGCAGCTGCCCCGCATGGGCCAATAGCAGCTGCCTCGTATGGGCCAATAGCAGCTGCCTCGTATGGGCCAATAGCAGCTGCCTCGTATGGGCCAATAGCAGCTGCCTCGTATGGGCCAATAGCAGCTGCCTCGTATGGGCCAATAGCAGCTGCCTCGTATGGGCCAATAGCAGCTGCCGCGTATGGGCCAATAGCAGCTGCCGCGTATGGGCCAATAGCAGCTGCCGCGTATGGGCCAATAGCAGCTGCCGCGTATGGGCCAATAGCAGCTGCCGCGTATGGGCCAATAGCAGCTGCCTCGTATGGGCCAATAGCAGCTGCCTCGTATGGGCCAATAGCAGCTGCCTCGTATGGGCCAATAGCAGCTGCCTCGTATGGGCCATGAACACATTCAGAACACCTTGAGTGAGAGCAGCCACACCCAGCCAGTCTCCCTCACTCCAACATCTTACTCGCCAACATTGCTCCTCCCACCATATTGCTATAGTTCTTATTACACATGTTCTATATACCTATCTACATGTTTTATTTACCAGAACTATGCAAGTAAGCCGGTATTGTGTCCAAACAGTACAGTGGCCACCATACACTGCATGAAAAATCACACAGCAGACGACGCTACGATTACGTCACCTCCCTCACCAAAATAGCTCCTCTCAACATTCTCCTGTTGCTGTTCTTACACTATATACACACACTATATATACCCATGTACATATGTGTTGCCCATAGCGAACCACTAAGCTAGTATGGTGAGCAAAACAAGAGTGGCAGCCACACACACAATTGAGGCTACCTCAATTCTCGCCCTCCCTCCCTCATCAAAATTCCTCCTTCCACAATACTACGCACAACGCTAATTATAACCACATTCCTGCTATTATCACAATCCTGGTCACTAATTCCTGTAAATGAATAATTGACCACACGTTTATTTTGAAAAAGAACCTAAGAAATCATTTGAAGATTCCTAGATGAACGAAATAATGCTCTGGTGCTGTGGCTAGCGCTGTGAACATCGTGAACAGCATTGAATCACTGATATTTGAACATTGTACCCAGTCATTATCACACTCAGGCTCTAATATAACACTATCATAGCTAAATAATACAATTTATATATATATTTTGACATTATTAGGCGATGCTGTGGTCACATGCTGAACAGCAGTGCTGTGCGCTCATGCTGCGAGCGCCAGCCTTGGTTGCTCACACACTACTGAGGCTCCCACACCCGGGAATGTGGACCACGATTTTTTTTAAAGATGGCGTCTGTTTACAAGAGCCCTGAGGAAGCTGATGTGAACCCCATGTAGCCGCGGGAGTTTTGAATGGAACGTGAAAAATACAAATACCCGGAGGCGCGTTGCGCAAACCAGACGTGAGCCTGCAGGCGCGTTGCGCAGTTTAAGGGTTAAAGGTTTACGGAGTACTATTTAACCTCATTTAACAAAGAGGTTAGGTTCCTAAAAACCGTTACTTTAACTGAAATGACTTTTAAGTGAAATAACCTCATTGGCTAAATAAAGGTACATGTTGCTCTGAAAATTGCCAAATTTTCCACTTAAAACTATAACAATTCACTAAACAGTGTGTTTTAATGGAGACGGCCCAGCATTTCATATAGAAGGAAACAAGTGAATAAAATGAAAATAAAAATTATGACTTATCATAATTGATGATTCATAATACTTCATCACCCAAACATACTAGGGGTATTTTTTAAGTACAAAAAAGAGAAAAAGAATGGCAAGAAATGTCCAAATAGTCAAACTTGACTGCATTGATGGCAAATGACATCAAGTTGGTCAAATGCTAGACAGGACACAGACAATGTGGCACCCCTACCAGAACCATAGATATTAACACTCAAGTCAAGTAAAATACCCAGCACCTCCACAAATAATATACCATCTTTTGTATTTGCCTACATCCAAAACACACACAACAGAAAAAGTCCACTTTCTAACTGGTCTCCTAAATGTGGCAAGTGCAATGTTTGCAGCTTTGACTTAAACTCGCACAAATGACTATTATGACAATGAAATAGGAGACCGGAATTCAATATTTTCAGATGTGATAGAAAGCAGGCTACAGGGTGGAGTTAGCCTGTACATCAGACATATACTCATCTGTTCAGAGCTGCTAAACACTACAAATGTTATGGTGGAAGTGCTGATACCCAAAATAAAAATTCTAAATGTGGCGATTATCCTGGTATCACCAGGTTCAAATCCTCGGCAATTTAAAGACCAACTTACAAAAATAGA